ATTTCATGTTTAACATAAAGAACTATAGCAAGTTCATCTCCATAAGCATAATTCATATTGGCATCTTGGCCACAAGCATAGCAAGCATCATCAAAAAGGGATATTTCAAGAGAATCAACGAGATCATAGCAATCATACTTCGGTAAGCACGAAGGGGAATTAAACAATGTATGCGTTGAAGAGTTACTCTCATTAGAAGGTGGGCACGGGTGATCAATCCGCTCTTCCTCCTTTTGTTCTTCGCTCTCCTCATCATCTTTTTCATCCAATGAGCTCATAGTTTCATCAATTTCTTCTTCCATAGCTTCCTGCAAAATATTAGTCTCTTCTTGGACAGCGGAGAATTTCTCAATATATAGTTTAACATAGGCATTAGAAGCATAATTATCATAACAATATTCAAGTATGGCAAAATTTCCAGATTTGTAGAGAGTAGCATCATACTTTTTAATCAAAGAAGCAATTTCATAAGCACCCTTAAAAGCAACAAATTCTTCAATTTGTTGAACATGAAAGTAATTATAAACACCCTTAGGATATGAAGATACGATTCCATTATCAATAAACTCACATTGGTAGGGAAGGTGTTTCTTAGGGTTTTCAGAACAACAAGTAATATCATATATTTCACATAAATTCCAAGCATAGCATTGCAAACAATGAATTTGATCCAGTAAAAGTTTCCCTTTTCAGATATACGATGTCGCACATAACAAGCATGCTCATCTAAAGATTTTCTTTCAACTAAGCTAGTTGGGGTTTCAGCACAAGCACAAAGGGATCAAAGATGATCCAAGTAAAAAGCTTCAGTAGTGTGATAGATTTTGAGTGGTTCTTCAACCATTGGTGCAGTAGGTACAACTATTTTTTTTGGTATTTTGCGTTTCCTGCCCATAACTAAAGATAGAAAACAACAAAGAACAACAAATAAAAATTACTTAGTGATAAAGCAAACAAGCACACACGAGAATATTCACCCCACGCTATGACTACCCGGCAACGGCGCCAGAAAAAGGTCTTGATAACCCGCAAGTATATGGGATAATTGCAGCCTCTTTCGATAAGTAAGAGTGTCGAACTCAGCGAGGAGCTAAAGGTAGAACAAATATTCTCTCAAGTCCTATCTGCCACAGATATGAATCTACGCATGCTTAGTGTTTGCTTTACCTAGAACAAGTATGAAACTAGAAGTACTTTGTAGGTGTTGTTGGATAGGTTTGCAAGATAATAAAGAACACGTAAATATAAACTAGGGGTTGTTTAGATAAAGAAGCAATAAAGTAAATATAACGAGTGTGGAAAAGTGGTGGCAGGAGTTGTGAAATTGTCCCTAAGCAATTGACTACGTTACTAGACCGGTAATCACTATTACAATTCTATTGAGGCATAAGCTAACATACTTTCTCTTGGATCATATGCACTTATGATTGGAACTCTAGCAAGCATCCGCAACTACTAAAGATCATTAAGGTAAAACCCAACCATAGCATTAAAGTATCAAGTCCCCTTTATCCCATATGCAAACGACCTACTTACTCGGGTCTGTGCTTCTGTCACTCACGCCACCCACCATAAGCAAATCATGAACATATTGCAAACCCTACAGCAGGAATCCCTCACGCTTGCGCGACACAGAGGGCACAATAGGACAACACCAATAATAAAACATGCAACTCAAACCAATCATAGCAATTAATCAATCACCGAGAGGACAATGAAAATCTACTCAGACATCATAGGATGGCAACACATCATTGGATAATAATATGAAGCATAAAGCAGCATGTTCAAGTAGAGGGTACAGTGGGTTGCGGAAGAGTGGACCGCTGGATATAGATGGGGGAAGGTGATGGAGATGTTGGTGAAGATGGCGGAGGTGTTGGTGAAGATCGTGGTGATGATGATGGCCCCCGGCAGCGCTCCGGCGCCATCGGAAGCAAGGGGGAGAGAGCCCCCCCTTCTTCTTCTTCTTCTTCTTCTTCTTCTTCCTTGACCTCCTCCCTAGATGGGAGAAGGGTTTCCCCTCTGGTCCTTGGCTCCCATGGCATGGGAGGGGCGAGAGCCCCTCCAAGATTGGATCTATCTCTATGTATCTCTCTGTTTCTGCGTTCTCTAATTTTGCCCCTTCACCGTTTATTTTATATTCGGAGATCCGTAACTCCGATTGGGGTGAATCTTTCGCCCAGATCTTTCTCATAAAATTAGCTTTCTTGCGGCAAAATAAGGGCATCAACCGCCTTACGGGTGGCCCACTAGGGTGCCAGGCGTGCCCAGGGGGAGGGCGCACCCCTGTCTCGTGGCCACCTCGGACACCGTTTCGCGTTGATTCTTCCTCCGGAAAATCCCAAATATTCCAAAATAATTCTCCGTCCGTTTTTATCCCATTTGGATTCCGTTTGATATGGGGTTTCTGTGAAAGATAAAACATGCAACAAACAGGAACTCGCACTGGGCACTGGATCAATATGTTAGTCTCAAAAAATAGTATAAAAAGTTGCCAAAAGTATATGAAAGTTGAATAATATTGGCATGGAACAATCAAAAATTATAGATACGACGGAGACGTATCACCCACCCCTTGCTAGGACCACACAAAAACATCCCCCGCCCCCCCTAGAATATAAGATAGCTTTCAAGACTCAACCTTAAAGGTTCGGCTCCAACGACCTGTACCTTAGCATGATTGTGGTACATGGAGTAATTCAAAACTTCCAGATTTATTGCATTCTTTAAGTACAAACTGAGACCACCACTCCTAGTTACCAGAGCTACTAACAACAAAACAACAATGGAAACCCGGAGGAGGGGCTAATGCTTCGACACATGCTTTACTAATTTGAGTTACACAATTCCTAACAAGGGCATGGAAAATTTCCTTGCAAAATCCTGAAGTTCTTGAACTATTTTTTCATTGTGCACTCCACGATAGTTCCACCTAAGGACATTTCATTCTGTCCGACGGTACTCCTCTAGGGAGCCTGCCGATCATGCATCGCTGGTTTTGTTCTGCTGTCCAGATTTCTTCCCGTTGTCATTTTAAGAGTTCTTGCCCATCTTGGTGCCCTTCGGGTCCCTCATCAGGGGAGGACTTGGTGGCACAGTGGGGGTGGAAGGGAGAGTTACTGGTTGTCGTCCCCAAGATCAAGGGTACCTCGTGGAGCACCAGTTGCACCTGGATCAATGACCTCAGTCGAGGATCTCTTTCTGTTACGATTGGGCTCGCCCATGTCAGCATTAATGTTTGCCCCTTCCGACTAGTCATCACGGTCGAAGCCTCTATCTCCTCGTCCCGTCACTTTGCCGCGTCCTCGGCCTAAACCATTGCCGTGCCGTCTCCCATTGCCTGGTCCTCATCCAGCCGCATGAACTAGGTGGCCTTTAGGTCCTTGAAGATCAACATTGATGGAGTATGAACGCTATCACCATGTTCCTTGTGAACATGCCCAAGATTACTACAAATAGTGCACCAATATGACAATCTTTCATATTTGACACGAAAAATCTGGCGCTTGTTATTCTTGACCATCGAGACATCATTCTTGAGCAGTTTGTTAACATTTTATCTTGATGTGGACCATGAATAAATTGCCTAGGAAATCGTGTGACCGAGGTTCTACATAAATAAATCCCCCCACTTTTGCTGCCAATGATTTCAAAAGATGAACAAATCCATTCGGCAGATCATGGATTTGAATCTAGATATCAACGGTGTCAAGCTTGATCAATGATGACTTAGTGAAGTTGTCATGGGGGATTATCAGAGCAGCCTTCCTTTGGAAGGTCCAAGGGTTTTCCTCCAAAGACCTGGCAGCGATCCTAGGATCACCCCTTAGTCGGTTCATACCAAGCACTGGGGGATTACCGACGATAGGGATGAGAGATATCCGCAGTGGGAGAAGCGCCACCAAGAGGAGACTAAACCCTAACGAGAGGGCAACTCATTTTGAAGCATAAACGAAAGGTCCCATTTGCTACTTTAAGCACGAAGAAATCTTCGCTCCAAGGCTCCAAACACGGGTTGCATTTGGCACAACCTATTAATAGGTACATTTGCTAATATCAAAACTTATTTTTGCTACTTCTAAAACTAGCCTAATTGTTATAGAAAAGTGTTGTTGTAAAAAAGAAATGTCTCATCTACATCAAACTAAAGGTTTGTGCATATTGAAATAGTTTTTATGTGTTATCAATATGAAACTGAAAAATATTCATATGATTTGAAATAATTGTTCATAAAAATCAAAATAATATTCATCTAACATAAATATAATGTTCATGCGTATAAAAATAAATTTCCGTAGATATAGAGAAATGATAATGTATTTACAAAAAAAATCATGTATTTGTGAAAAATCAAACTAGAATAAAAAGTTCATACATTTGTGAAGAAGTAAAATAAAACAAAATGAAAAGGTTAGAAAACAGAAGCCTAATTCTAGAAAAAATAAATTTAAGAGCAAAATAAAAACAAAAAAGAAACAGGAAGGTAAAGAAGGTACGAAATAGTAATAAAAATAAAAATATATGTAGAAATCACGAGAAAAAACGAAGCACATACCAGAATCTTAAAATGCTGGCCCATTAAGCTGCGGGGGGTGCGCGGACGTCGCCGGTCAGAAAGGGGTATATTTGTGTCAAAAAAAAAGGCAAGGGGTATATATAGGGTACATTTTCACCCTGCCCGAAGCTTCCGCGTAGCTTCCTGGGCGCCGCCACCCACATTTCTGCGGCGCGTCAACGTTTTCGTAGCACTATATATAACACACACAGCTCAACCATTTTCGTGCTCAAGACTCGAGACGCGCGTCAACGTTTTCGTAGCACTATATATAACACACACAGCTCAACCATTTTCGTGCTCAAGACTCGAGACGCGCGTCAACGTCTTCGTAGCACTATATATAACACACACAGCTCAACCATTTTCGTGCTCAAGACTCGAGACCACAAGCCGAGTCCGTTCTCTGGCTCACCACCACATATTACACACCAACGAAACAATGAATTCTCTCATCCACGCTACGAGCTTGATTTCCGACGCATGCCTCAACGCGGAGAAGCTGCCAAGGGCCCTGATCTTGTGTGGCGTCGTCAAAGCCGCCGCCGCGCTCTGCCTAATCATTTTCAAAGCTCCAGGAGGCATATTTCTCCACCATGGCAAGGCTCCATTCTTCTTGTACTACGGCATTCTCATCGCCGTAGTCGTCTTCGGGCTCATCGAGGCGTCAACCGGCTTCTGGGTGTCAGGCGACGTGGTCGGAAGGCGTGCTGCCGGGAAGACGTTCCTGTTTGTGTCCATCCTACCCCTCGTCATCGTCATTGCGTTGGGAGGCTTTGCCATGCTGAACTTGAAATAGTATCTTCCATTTTTTCTTTTTACTTTTGTAGTGCATACAGTACGTAGTGTATTTAAATTGTTGTTGTACAGTACAGTATATGAGTAGGCTGCGTAAGCCCGAGGTTTACGTTTCATTAGTTTCCACCTGTACACTCATAGATTTTGGTTATTAAGCTGCTAGTATTATTCATGCAATGGATGTCTGGTTTGTGCTTTTTTGGAATAAAGACGCTAGGGGCGTCGGGCTTTAAATTAATAAAGCCACTCGGCAGCATTCAAACAAGGTTCGAAAAGAAACGGAGACCAACCAGGTCAGCAAGTACATCGATACAACACATAGTCCAAAAGCACGCAGGCTTAAACATATCTAGCATAAGATCCAACAAGCCCAAACGACCCCCGCAAGGATGAAGGCCTCCCCAAAAGCTGCTTACTCGTGCCTCGAGTCTTGCCTGGCCAACGTCTGAGTCATCCTGATACGCTCCAAGACTTCCATCATGCGCTTAGTGTTGCGCTCCTTCCCCAACGGTGTCCACGTCTGTAAAAATAGATGACATTTGAATATCACATCAACAGGATGGTTAGGGAATTTCTTCTCTATCGTAATTTTGTTATGAGTCGTCCAAATAGCCCATAGCAACGGCCCTATGCATCGCCAAGCTATTCTAGCACTGGACCCCTTTTGGGTTTTGATCAAGGTGAGCAGATCCGCACCCGAGGAGGGGTTCCAGTTCGTGTGAAACGCATCCCTAACCACGCTCCACGCAAACTTGGCTAGGTGGCATCTAAAGAACACATGGTTTGCGTCTTCACCTAGACCGCAAATCGAGCAGGACCCGTCGGACGGGCCATTATGTTTAGCTACACTGTCGGAAGTTGGTAGCCGGTTCCTAAACATTTGCCACATGAAGATTTTTATCTTGAGTGGCAACCCGGCCTTCCATAGCCCCTGGCTATATCCAGCGCGCTCTCCTCAGTAAGTTTGCTACATAGCGATTTCATCGAAAACTTCCTGGAGGCAGACAGGTTCCATTCCACCGGGTCGGCCCCCAAGCCTAGTCGCTGATCATCTTGTTTCGATTCTTCAAGATAGTGGCATTGCGGTTGAGTCCTCCACTGAGGATATTATCTCGTTAGTTCGTGCGAGGGAAGTAGCTCAGGCTGCTCTTGCTGCTGCTGCCGCTCGCTGTGTGGCAGAGCAGGCAATGTCCGAGCAGGTCGTGGTACCAGTAGGAGCTGGTGCGAGCCTTGAGCCCACCGAGGGGGACGAGGCTAGGGCAGCCTTGGACGGCCCTTCTTCCAGTCGCGTGCCGGCACGGAAGAGAGTGGCCAAAGCGGTGAGCTCCCGTGGAGTTCGCTTTCGCAACCGTATTATATAATGCGGTACATCTTCTGGAATATTCGCGGATACGGCCATGGGGGCCGGCGGATGCTACTTAGAGAGTATATGGCCAAAGAATGTATCTATTTCATGGCATTGCAGGAAACGATCAAAGCCGACTTCACGTTTAGAGACCTCCTCGCGTACGATCCCCTGCAACATTTTGACTGGTTCTAGATACCCTCCTCAGGCCACTCGGGTGGTCTCCTTATGGGCTGTAATCGTGATGTATGTGATGTAATTCTATGGGAGTCTAGTGTTTTCTTTATTGCTGCAACTGTTCGACACTGCGTTTTTGGGTTAACCTGGGTGATTGTGAGCGTCTATGGGCCGGCCGACCATGCTAGGTCTGCTGATTTCTTGGGTGAGATCATGGCCCTGGTTGGGGCTAAAAGAGCGGTTAATCTGCCGCTAGTAGTTGGTGGGGATTTTAACTTGATCAGCTCGGGGGCGGACAAGAACAACGACAATGTTGATTGGGCAAGGGTGTCCCTTTCCAATAATGCGATTGCGGCCGCCGCGTTGTGTGAAATTGCGACGACATGTGTGAGATTAAGGTGGACTAACAAACAACACATGCCTGTCTGTTCTGTCCTCGACCATGTTTTCTGTACTGGAGACTGGGAGGTGCTCTTCCCTCTATGTACACTAGTCGTTGAGACGCGCATACGATCCGACCACGACCCTTTAATTTTGTCCTTTGAGGAGGACAGCGCTCGGCGCAGTAGAAGATACACATCAAAAAAAGACACATCCATAACATTTTGGGCCGAACGAAAAAAATTTATGTCATACTTATGACACTTCTATGAACAGGACCCCGTGGAGGGCTGGATGAATAGGACCCCAATCGATCGAGCCGGTTGGGTGTGGATGAACAGGACCCCGTGGAGGGCTAGATGAACAGGACCCCATGGAGGGAAGGTTGAACAGTTACCGGTGGAGGGCTGGTTGAACAGTAGTCGGTGGAGGGCTGGATGAACAGTAGCCCGTGGAGGGGTGGTTGAACAGGAGCCCGTGGAGAGGGGTGTTTGAATAGTAGCCAGTGGAGTAGCGCGCGGTGGAGGCTGGATGAACAGGAGCCCGTGGATGAACAATTGCAGGTGAAGGCTGGAGGAGGTCAACGGTGGATGAATAGTAGCTCGTGGAGGCTGGAGGAGGTCGACGATGGAGATGAACAGTATCCCGTGTAGTCTCGTTTTGCGGTACGCCACACCCCTCCCAATGAACAGGACCCCCGTTTCGACCATAGCGCTCCAACACAAGTCTGTTTCCTCCGTTTTGCGGTACGCCACACCCCTCCCGATCAACATGACCCCGTTTCGACCGTAGGAGGTCCAACAGAAGTCCGTTTTCTTTGTTTTGCGGTACGCCAGACCCCTCCCGATGAACAGGATCCCGTTTCGAACGTGACCGGTCGAACACAAGGTCGTTTCCTCCGTCCTGCGGTACGCTAGGCCTCGTTTCCATCGGTTGTTCCGTCCAATCCCATGAACACGATGATGCATTCCGTTCCGACCCAGCCAGTTGGCTCCCCATGAACACGACGACGATGCAGTTTCTCCGTTCCAACCCAGCCATGACATGAGCCCTGGCCATACGTATGCGCGAGTAGGCGTTCGAGACCCCTCCCATATGTATGTACGTGGCCGTATTTACTTTCTTACACCCTGGCCGCTGTACGTACGTGTACATGCTACGTGCGCGCCTCTACTACGACACGTGCGCACCTCTACATCGACCAGTACGTACGTACGCGTTTGTGACCAGAATGACAACGCTACATACGCTTTAACCAGGTGGGTCACAACTGTCAGGCACTTCCTTGCGTGCGAAGATGTAGCTGGTGGGTCCCAGTAGTCAGGGGGGCAAATAGTTTTTTTGCCCCTAATATGGACGCACTTCCTTGCATGCGAAGATGTAGCTAGTGGGTCCCAGCAGTCAGGGGGGAAACGTTTTTTCGCGAAATACAGTGGCCCGTCCGGTGGGTCCCTGCTGTCAGTCTCTCCATGTACAGTACTCTTCCGATGGAAGTCGTTCCTTAAACACGTTGACCACGCCGCGCCTAGAGCACCAGGGCGGTGGACGACGGCGAGACCTAGGAAGGGGACGACGCAGCAGTGGATACCCACACAAAGAGGAGTACGAGGGTTCACTGGTTCGGCTGCGGTGTGAGGCTGTCGTCACCGCAAAATAACAGGGGGTGTGGGTGAGTAGAGGGATGGTCTGGCCAGCGGTAGGAGTAGTAGGGGCGGCGAGGCCTCCGCGGCATCACAGCCGGCCACGGGAGGTAGGAGCACGCGGCGCGACCGGCGCTGGTTTGGGCGGCTAGAGCAAGAAGACTAGAGGTTGAAGAAGCACTATGGCCGTTGGATGGACATCGTACGGTCACTGGAGCTATAATCATTCATATTGACTAAGTTGACAAATCCCTTCATCCCCATCAACTTAGTAGGCCCACAAGTCAGCCTCCCACTATGGTGGGTCCCAGCTAGCAGGGGATATTCATTTTTTTGTGCGTAATAAGGAGTCACTTCCTTGGGTGCGAAGATATAGCTAGTGGGTCTGACCTGTCAACAGGGGGACGTTTTTTTCATGAAATACAGAGGCCCTTCCGGTGGGTCCCATCTGTCAGGTGGAGGAATCATCATTTTGCGCGTAATAAGGAGGCATTTCCTTGCGTGTGGCCGTGGACCCAGCTGTCAGCCTCTCCATGTACAGTCCACTTCCGATGGATGTCATTCATCGACCATGTTGACCAGGCCGCGCCGAGAGCACCAGGGCGGTGGACGACGGCGAGGCCTAGGAAGGGAACGATGCGGAGCCAGGGAAGACTCGGTAGTTGTTTCCCACGCGGAGGGGAGTGCGAGGGTTTACTGGTTCGTCTGCCGTCCCCGGAGAATAACAGCAGGTGTGGGTGAGTAGAGGGATGGCTAGGCCAGCGATGGGAGTACGGTGGGGCGGTGAGGCCTGCGTGGCAGCATAGCCGGCCGCGGGAGGAGGGAGCAGGCAGTCCCGCTGGCGCTTGTTTGAATGGCTGGAGCGGGAAGAGCAGAGATTGAAGAAGCAGGACGGCTGTTGGATGGACATCCAACAGTCACTGCTCTCGTGTGTTGACTAAGTTGACACGGCGTTGCGTGTGCGTTAACCTTTTTTTAGGAAAGCATATGCGTCAACCTGTAGTAGGCGCACAAGCCAGCCTCAAATCTGTGGAAAACAACATACAACCCATCTGCCATTATTTCTAATAATGTACAACCAATTTGCTAATTCTTAAGATTTTTTTTGGAGCCCATCTTCTTTTTGTTAGCATTACACCCCATATTGTGGCCACAGTTAAAAATTATAGGAAATTTTGCATATTTCGGTGTGGTCAACTATTTTTAATTCCGAAATATCGATTCACATTCAAACTATTTTGAAAAGATAATTTATATAAATATAAAATCCAAATAATTGTCCATGCGTAAAAATAAATGGAATTTAAAATCTTGTAATGAAAAAAAATTGAAACTAATTCCCGGTTTGATGTGTTTCAAAAATGTACAGCCCATTTCTGGGCAAACCGAATGAAACTCTCCTCGTCTCGAAAGATTTGCAGCCCAGCAGGGTTGATAAAGCAAGTAGGCCTCGTTTGG